CTGCCCACGGGTTTCTATGAAACCCCACTACTGAGGAAATGGGAAGGACACATTTCCTATTTCAACCTTAAGTGGGTAGAGTTATATTTATTTATTTGTTTTGATAATTTCAGATTTAGTAGTAATGGATATAGACATGGATTAATACTTTGTCTATAGCCTGTGTGTACATATAGCATATTTACTTCTGAGAGATATCAATACCAGGAATTTGATTTAAACCATCAGAAACTGCAGGCATCTCTGTAAACTACCAAAGCTACTTTGTCACAAAATGCATTTCTCTGTGGCTGTAGTGTGATACTAATACAAAACCGGAAATCTACTCAGTTCTGGTACTCATGAAGCAAATCACCAAGGGCATCAAATTTCCACTCTAGAAAATTCCATTAATGACAAAGATGTGCAGACAGTCTTCAGCCACTCATCTCAATTACTGTTGCTGGTCATCAATTTCTCCCTGATTCTATAGAGCAGATTTATTTGCACAATCATCTAATCACATGCTTTGTTTTGACCATATAAACATACATGGATCCGTCTGTGCAGCCCACGAGTTTGGTGGTGTATTTCCTACACTTCTTATTGATACCTCCCTTTCTTTTGGCAAGGTGAATTTTTAATAAAAACTTTTTCTATGAAACTTTTTAAAAAATCAACTGTTGTTTTTAGTTTTCCTCCAAATCTGGGAAACTGTTTATGGTGGAGTTTGGGCTTTTATTTATTTTTTTATCAGTTATTCGTGTTGGGTTTGAGGTGATTTTACTGAAGTCTCCAAAGTTAAGAACAGGGAATTGACTGACCTCAGAGAAAGGAAGCGTGTAAAAATTTTACATGTTTACACGAGAGCTTATTTATCATAAGCTCTAGACTCACTTCACTTAGGATATTTTGTATGAAATGAATCCACATGTTCACAGGGCCCTTTAAGATAATGATATTCAAAGTGCCACAATGAGATAAGGAGACTGTGAATGTCAATCTGTGCCTTTGCTTCCTTCATTAAGAAAGTCTCGCTCCTAGGAAAAGTCAGCTTAATGCCGTGCAAACAGCCAAATGGAACCTCCGGATGCCCCGCCTCTTAGCTGCACTATTGAAAGACGCGGATAAATGGCGGCCCAGTGTTTCCATAGCTTAGGCAGGTTCCTGAACCTCTCTGTGCCTCAGGCCCTGAGAATGAGGACAATGGTACGGTGGAGGGGGAAAGTGTGAGCCAGGAGCTCAGTGGGTGGGAGGAGTAAACAAGATGTCAGCAGTGAGGGGGCAGAAGTGGTATAGGCTGATGGTTCCCTAAGATAGATGCCTTAAGATAGTGGGGCTCTAGCAGGAGAGAGGGAGTAATGGTCAAAAATCAGGCATGGGGTCCCTGAAGTACCTAGGGATAAGTATCGGGGGTGGCTTCCTTTTGAGAGGGCTGCAGGGGAAAGGCTTGATGTCCTCAGGACATTTTTGTTGTTGTTAGTGCCATGGAGTTGATTCCGAGTCCTAGTGACTCTGTGTCCAGCGGAGTGGAACTCTGCCCCATCTTTCCGCACCATCCTCTCCCTTTCCAGTATATCAGACAATGCTCTGCTGCTATTCCAAGTTTTTGGAATTGAGTAGCCAGGTCCTTCTTCCTACCTCAGGGTATAGCCAAGGTTTTATTTGAGTCAAAGAGATAAAGGGATGTTTAAGGAAAGGTTGAGGATATAGGAAGCTTGTGAATGACAGAGAATGAGCCCAGAGGGCCCCCTGAGAGAGTTTGCAAGGGAGGTGGTGGGATGAGCACTGGCTCAGCCTGGGACGCTGAGAGCAATGGGGGTTGCAAGGCAGGTGGATAAGGAGGGATGCTCCGAGAGGGTACCAAGGGGATTGAAGGAAACAGGAAATGAGGCAGGTCCGGGTAAGTCCTGATGCTCTTTTGGAGGAGAAGGGGAAGAAAGTCTCAGCTCAGTGATGTGAGCGCTTCAGTTGTCCTCCCACTCCTGGCGTCGGAGAAGTGGGCTGCTTTATTGACTCCATGCTCAATAGGGTTGTTGTCAGTTAACTGAAATAATATAATTAAACAGTATTTGTCTGTTGTTTTTATTATCTTTTGGCACATTTTTCAATAAATACTTCTATAGCACCAATTGTATGCAAAGCCCTGTGAGGCTCTGTCTGGCATGCAAACACAAAGACAAAATTGTTACCTGTGCTGCTAAGGGGCTTCCAGTCTTATAACAGAGAAATTCATTCTGTTTAGAGGAAATGCATTGGCAAAAGGCCACCATTCCTGTAATCTACTATGTCCCAAACTAATAAAGCAAATTAATGCAAAATAGCCCATTCCTTAAAACATGTGTTTACTACTTTCAAGGTCAACATGAGAAAACTGGTTTCATCAAGTTTAGATTTGAAGACAGTAAATTGTGGTTTTATCCATAGCTTTATAAACTTATTTCCCACCAACTTTTTATATTGCTTGGAATATTAAGGAAAAAAAAAAGAAAAGTGTAAGTCAAATGCAAAAAAAGTTAAATACTTGCCTTGATCTGGTTAGAGTGTAAAGTAAATCACGTGGCAATTTAATTCCCAGTGAACATGTGACAGCCGTGGAGTTAAATATTAGATTTAAATAGGACAGCTAATTCTCTGCCAGAATTACATTAGTCTCTTCATATGGGCACTCTACCTAATGAACACATTTCTCTCCTCTTAAATTCAGGCATTGCTACTGGAGCATGAGAAATTAATACACATTCTTGTATTCATTAATATTGTTGCTCATAAAAGACCTTTTGATTTTTATCACCCTGAATTCCCAAAGGCCCATGGAAGCAGTCATAGCTCCAAACCACATGAATTATCAGGGGAAAAATCCTATTAAAGCAAAACCTTAATCACCACTTGCATTTTATATCAAGTTGTATCTAAAAAGAAACTGTATAGCACTTCCATCAACAGAGAACGCATAAATAAATGGTAGTAGAGTCCTTCTACTGAATATTATAAAGTAGTAAAAATGAAAGAATTACTAATACATGCACTGTGTAACTCAATCTCAAGGACATTGTTAAGTGAAAGATGCAAGATATGGAAGAATGCACGCAGCACAATTCCATTGACGTGGGTTCAAAACCAGGCAAAGCCCAACAGTGTCTCATTAGGGACATGTCATTGGTAGCAAATCTATAAGAAAATGATTGACATAAAACTCAGGATAGTAGTTATCCCTGGGAAGCGGGTAGAAAGAGGATAGCATCAAGAGAGAACACAGTGGTGCTTCAAACATACTAGGGCTGCTCTGCTTCTTAATTGGGATGATAGGTTCACGGGTATTCACTTTATTATTATTATTATTTAAACTGCAGAAATATGCTTTTATATTTCTTTTTCTTTGTGGTCCTCGAAACCTCTCTGAGGGAGTGAGAACTTGAATTGGCCTTTGAAAGGTGAACTAAGCAGAGAGGAAGCTGGGAGATTATTTTTACTTTTTACTCTACTCCTTACAAATTTTTATTTCTCTTGCCATGCTTAACACAGTTTACAACTGAAAAGAAACTTTGTGGTGTAGAAGAAAAAACATAGACTCAGCGTTCAGGCAGACCTGGATTCAAATCTCAACTCCTCCATTCTCACACAGTGAATCATTGAAATTCCTGAAGACTGAGTTTCCCCATGTGTGAAATGCATAGAGGAATGTTTCACAGGGTTGTGAGAGAGAAATGAGAGAATGTTGTTGGCCACACATTCCAAGCTCTAGAGGGCATTGCAATCTCTCTCTCTCTGTTGTTTTTTTGTTTTTTTTTCGGTGAGGAAGATTGCCTTGCGCTAACATCTGTTGCCAATCCTTCTCTTTTTGCTGAGGAAGATTGGCCCTGGGCTAACATCCGTGCCCATCTTCCTCTACTTATATGTGGGACACCTGCCACAGCATGGCTTGATGAGCCGTGCATAGGTCCACACCAGGGATCTGAACCTGCAAACCCCGGGCCACTGAAGCGGAGCATGCAAACTTAACCACTGCGCCACCAGGCCAGCCCCACAATCTCTTTTTAACACTGCCATCCACGGATGAGTAGCTCAGAAAAGAATGGTGGCTGTGACCTGGTGGAACCCTGTGCTAAGGGCTTGGACGTTTGATGTGCTGGGTGAAGAGGCACAAGCTCGCACTGCAATTGTGTCCTCTACAGAGTCTCCTTTTGGGCTTCCCCACTGGCTCCACCTCGCAGCTAATGAGCTTCAAAGGCCCCTTGACTGCCTCCTGCCTCGTTCCCCAGGAGAGTGTATGGCTGAGTGACATGGGCCAGCTCTGCTCTGGACTAGAGGGAGAAACATTCTGTCTTCCCCAGATGCATCTATTCTTGTCTCTTCTTGGCTTTGGAGAGCCAAGACGAGGGCATGATCTTAGAAAGGAGTTAAGGAAGCCAGCTTTTGGCATAGTCTAGACATTTCTGGTCTAAACAAAAGGAGTCACTGAGGTTCAACCATGGTCCAGCCCACCTCACCAGGAGACTAAAACTGGGATGAGGACAAAACTTTAACAGGCAATGCACAGGTCTTGCATTGTCCCTTTGTGTGCTCTGAGCCTCTCGCCTGCCCTCAGGAGTCTGAGGCAGCCTAACAAATAAGTAGGGATTCCTGGTTATGTCTCTGCCTTTTCCCACTAGACACATGACGAACCAATATATGCAAAGCATCCCGCTTGTAAGAGGCCTGCTCTTAATGTCCATTCCTACCTCATTTCTCCCCTTTCTTAGTCTGTAAATTTCATTATTGACATTTCACAGCCAATGGCTAGGTCACTGCTTTAGTTCTATCAAAAACATTAGTTGAGCTCTGGAGAGCAAGCCCATGCAACCACCTTCCAGGCATTTGGGCTGGACTGTGAGGATGGATACTGAGCTTCTCCTTTGGGTCACTGTGTGCAGAGGAGAGAATCTGGGCCTGCAGGCTCGAGATGCAGGCCCCTGACACCCCCCTCTGCCCTAACCTCCGAGTGCTTCCATTCCAATTTCCATTCTGTCTTTGTTTTACAGTTGTTCAGCACATCAAGCGACATAACATTGTTCTGAAAAGGGAGCTAGGCGAAGGAGCCTTTGGAAAAGTTTTCCTAGCTGAATGCTATAACCTCTGTCCTGAGCAGGACAAGATCTTGGTGGCAGTGAAGGTAAGAGAACACTCCAGAATGTCTCATTATCCATGGTCACACTAATGTGTGGAAGTGTTACTTTATTTTATTTTAGTGGCCAATTCAGGAGCAAATTACATCTGCATTGGTGGATGTGTCCAAATTTCTGTAACTAAATGGACAGTGGAAAGGATATTGGAGACACATCCAACTGTCAGAGGTTCTTCTCAGGGCAACTTACCAGTCTGCAGGCTGTGAATAGCTCTGAGCTACTCAATGCTAACTAAATTCTAGATGGAGGTCAGTGGGGTCAAACAGAATTCAACCAGCTAAATCCTGGAGACTCAGCCTGTCTCCTGGGATCTCTCCGTCCTTGTGCTAAGCTCATCTGGAGCTCGTCTCGTGTTCGAGCTTCTGGAGGGAGACTGTGGAGTTCACTTCCCCTCTCAGCCTCTGCTCCACCGAGATCTTCTGTTATACCTTACCTTCTCACTCCAAAATGTCTCCAAGGCTCCAGGATTTTATAGAGAGCAGGCATTATTCCATCCTAGGGTGGAGGGCATCTCTTGTGGATTCCACCATCCTAGGAGACACAAGCTTTTACTAAAATAAAGAAGTCTGATAGTCCTTCCTCCTAGCCATTTCCCCATAAACCCAAAAAGGAGACTTGATCTTCAGTAAGATAAACATTATTGAAGGGGATAAAATTTCCACTGAGCTCTCTAAACACAAAAATGAACAAAAATAGCACAAAAGACTTTAGCAGATCTTTCATAAATGCATTGTCAAAATTTTTTAAAAAACAGCAACTCACCAAAGTGTTGGATAATATATATAAAACACTTAAAGGAGGTATACTATTTATAAAATGAGTTAAATGACAAATGAATATGGACGTGGCTAATGTAATAAAATGTAACTTCTTGGCTTAATGTAAGATGATTGAGTTTCGCTTTTTGTTTCTGTCCAACACATAATATTTGTAGGAATGGCGTTTGTTTACTAGTTATAACCAGGACAACTTTTCATTTTTTAAAATCAGATGTATATTCCATTGCTGTTGTAATTAGCGTTAAGATACTTCAGTATACACATAATGGGTAACTGAAGAGAGAGACTAAATTATTCTTGAACTGGCCCATCCTACAGACTAAACACAGTTTCTGTTAAAGTTCATCCAAATGAAAGTACATTTGCTCTCCATACCAGCGAAGGTAACTAACACAAGCGGCACAGATGCTGTCAGCAAAAGCTTCTAAAAGCTGCCCTTTGGAGTGAATAAAGGACGGGTCTTTCTAGGGATGAGAAATGTAATATCTGTCAAATAAACATCATCTCACTAAGATAGGTGAATGGAGGGGGGAGTGAGGCAGAGGAGAGCAGAGAAGAAAGGAGATGCCAGAGAGATGTGAGGTCATGTGCTTAAAGGGCAAAGGAAGGATCCTGCAGCCACTCCGGGATGGTTAATGCCTGCTGTTGCTATCGCTTCCTCTTTTCTTTCACTTACTTAAAAAGTTTGTTATTTTTTTTAAGCATAAAATGTTCAGAACATTTGGCAGCGTTATATCTGCAGTCTTTGCTTTCTTCTGCTGCTTTTTTTTTCTCCCTTTGAATAAATGGGATCAAAAGGTGCCTCTATTTTTGCAGATTCATAGATTGATAAAATATTAGAGCTGGAAGAAGCTTAGGGAACATCTGATCCTAATCTGGCCCTGCATTAGAGACAAGGAGACTGAAGACCACGGATTCGTGTTCTGGGCCTGTGTCTCCCACTGCTCTTGGGAGGCCGTCCCGGAGGCCCTGACTTACAGGTCTTCAGACTCTGCGTTCTCTCCATGGGGTCACAAAGTGGGAATCTTTGAATGTGAGAAATTCCTGGAAGATTAGAGAATCCTAAGCGACAGTGTAGGAATTGCTGAGAGACCTCAGCCAGATACAGAGATGGATCCAAAAAATTTCTCAGGGGGTGTAGCCTTTCATCTTAGTATCATTACTTATTCTGTGCCTACTTCTCTGTGCTTCCTGCAATGCCCTTAAGGAAAGGGTATTGTGTAGCTAAATCTAGGGCACCCTCAACCCGTACATTCCATTTCCTTCCAAACACATGCCAAGAGAGGACTTCAGGGTTTGGGCTAGTAATGATGAGGGATTAGCCAGCAACAGCAATTAGCCAGTTGTCCTGCCCACCACGGTGTGCTCCCTCTGGGGGTATCGGCCATCACTGCCATTGGTGAGGCTTCTCTCTGGTTTAAATCCCAATCATAGGCCTAATCCCGCCTCTGACCCAGACCCAGGACCTTGTTCTCATCACCTCCTGGTTTTGCCAAATAAGTGTTTGGAAATTAATGACCTATAGTCATTAATGATGAGTGTTTGCTCTTTAATCAATGCTGCTAAAAAGAAGTGAAGTATTTACTCCTTTATCAAACCCTGACCCCTTCTCTATGCTGATCTCCTTCTTGTTGAAATTCAAATGAAACCATTATCTCAAATAAGGAGGACAAAATGCCTACAGCTTAAAAAGCCATTCCAACTTCAAGGTGACACACCCAAGAAGACTTATCTCCATGACCTTGAATGTGCATTCTTGTTGAAATCAGAGGCTTTGCTTATGTTTGCTAGAATGATTACAAGCTTCAGAGAGGATGCCCATTTAACTCTCTGGGATCCAGAAGCTGTAGCCACGTAAGGAAACAGTCAGATCTTCCCTGGGCTCCAGGATGAATTGGCTCAGAATAACATGAGGACCTTTCACAGTACTGACTCCGACCAGTCTGTCCTGCTCATTGTTAGGGCTGTGGGCTGATTGCCTTGGAAGGAAATGTTTATGGTTCAGTCCTGACCACAATAAAGGGATTTTTTAAGGAATGAGACAAACTAAATATGGCTTCCAGCTTCCAGGGCCTGTACACAATGTCACCTCTCTGGAGTGGCTGCTGGGCTGCTCTTCTTCCACTGGAGGCAACCAGGGATGTTTGACAGTCTTTCTGCTCGTTGCCTAGCAACCCCTGCAGCATTGATTATGCATGCTAAGAAATAGCAGCCATTGTCCTTTTCCCTTTTTTAGAAGGAGGTGACTGGTTTGAAACCCAAGGCTTTGCATTCAGACTGACAGATGTCAGGTTCCTGTAATTTCTGGTGTCGCTTGCCCCAAATGATTTAAGAGCTTGAGGGAGCCACAGGAATGGTTTAAGATGGAAGTGGTCCTAAGGCATGTGCAGGGCACTCAAGGGCGCATGGGGGGTGAGCATGCCTCTCCCAGTAGAGTATCCGCTTGTCTGGATCCAACCAGATTGCCCTTTTCTTGATATTTTTGGATGACCTTTGTTTTTTAGTGTAGTGGATTTGTCAACCATTTTTTCCCTTTACACTGAATTACAACTGAAGAATCCATAGAGAGGATAGGAAGCAGAGAAACCAGTCTTTGATCAAAATGAGTTACTTTACCTTTAAGTAACTCAATTGCCAAGGAAACTGCTTCATCGCAGTTTTTCTGCATTAGCTGTGGATGCATTCACTATTTTTGGCTCTATCCAACCTGCATTTCAATAGCTACAGTTCCTACAACATTGCCTTGTACTATGAATGCGCGCTGATTTTTGTTTTTTAAATATAGCCACAAGTGTGCTTTGTAGGATTCGTGGCCCCTCCTCCCCTTCTCCACTAACTCAGGTGTATTTCTAGAAACATAAAATGCTGAATACAAGAGAGACCTTAGAAATCAGACATACAACCCAAGTCTCATGTTTTATAGATGAGAAAACCGAGACCCAGGGAAGTCAAGTGACTTCCTAGAGGTGTAAGTTAAAGTGAGTTAGACGTCCTGCCCAGGAAGAATTGGCGAAATGAGAAATGGTGAAATCTGAGTTCAGCAGATGCTTTCTTCTGGGTCCAACTTAGGACTTTTGCTTTTCATGTTTCTGAATATCTTTTTGTTAACAGAGGAAATAGTGATGATTTTCTTCACCAAGGGTTTTGGAAGCGTTGACTGATAAACCCTCTGGCACCTTACCATGAGGCAGCCCCAAAGTAATATCCAACACATTGTTGCTGTTCACGTGTCTGGAGGCCAACTGCCCAGCCCCTTGTTCCATGCAACTTCCACTAATCCATCAGCTCTCCGTTCAAGTAGCTCCTCTCTGGGGAGACCTCCCCTTGCCTCCTCCCCAGTCTAGGTCAGACTTCTCTATTATATGCTATTAAGGCATTTATACTTGTCCTTTATAGCATTTGTCAAGATTGTTAATTATATATGTATTTGTGGGCTTATTTAATCAATGGCGTGAATGTCTGTCCCCTCCATTAGAGTGGCATATTCTCAAGGGAAGGAACCATGCTTTTTAGCACATTGCCCAACATGTGGTAGCATGCATTAAATGCTTGCTGAATGAATGAAGGGATGGATAGATGGACAGATGGGTAGATGAATGGATGATGGGTGGATGGATGGATGGATGGATGGACCATAGAAATAATAGCCTTTTGAAGAAGTAAAGAGTTGGCAGTTGGCGTTTCTAGGTAAGAAAATGATTTGATGAGCTATTGATAGTCATAGAATTTTATAGCTGAGAGGAACTGTAAAGATAATATATATAGGATAAAGTAATCTAATGAGAAATCATTTTAGAAGTGATTGAATCACTATGCAGATATATAGAGCTATTATTGATATTCTTTAGCTTAACTCCCACATTTTGCCAGTGAGGAAACAGGAACCCAGAGAAGATAAATGACCCACCGAAAGTCACATAGCTTGAACGAGGTCACTTAATGTCACACCTAGGACTAAAGCTCAGGCCCCCTTCATCAGTCCCCTGCCCACTGTGCACTACATTTTCATGTATTGAATTTTACATGTGTCCTGGTAAAACAAACAGAGGAAATTCAACACAATGCCACTTACCACGTAATACAAAGGAGTGTGTTAGTTGTGCCTATTTGTATGTAAGCATGAGGGACACTTGCATGTTTTCCCAAGTAGAAATGTAATTCAAGAGAACAAGTGGAAATAAGGAAAACTGGATTCTGGAGTGAGTGCT